CGACAGCGCGTCCAGGAGCGCGGCCGGGCCGGGGCAAAACTCCTTCATCCTGCCGGACAAACAGCAGCCAAAATCCCCTTCTCCCGCCCGAGAGGCTGCTTCGGAGGGACTCTTTCCAGGCAAACCCCCCGCGATTTTTTCTCCCGCTGGGAAGCGGCGTGGAGGGTGGTCCCCCGAGGGGTGGGAGCGCTGCTTTCCGAGCGGTGCGGGGCTGGCAATCCCCGGGGCCCGCTGCCACCCTGCTCACCCTGCCCACCCCGGCCTGCGGGGATGGGCACCCGCCTCACGCTGCTCCCTCAGCACTGCCAAGCACAACAAAGAATGTGAGGTTTTAAAATTTCTCAAATCGAGCCTTTTCGGTGCCTTTTCAAGGCAATGGCGCTGAATTATGCGTGTGCCCCTGGTCTGCGCTTGCCACCCCATTTAGATAACGTCCGCGATTTATGGGCAAGTTGAATATATAGGCTGAATTCCCAAATTCCTTCTGAAGCAAATAAATCCTCCTCCTTCAGGACATGGGGTGAGCAGGGCCAGAGCAGGGATGTGCTGATTAGCCCTGGCTCTGCAGAGTTATCGCTGTGGTGTCCTGCATATGCTGCTGCTGCACAGCATCACTGGGGAGCCTGCCCCGGGCTGCCTCAGCTTGTATGGATGTGTTTGGAAATATGGACCTGTTCTGTGCCTCTGAGAAAAGAGTAATACTTCTAAGGCTCTTTTTTACCTTGTGAGAATAAATGCATTGCTGTGTTTAAAGAGACTCTCTTCTTCTGATGAATGCCATAGGGAAAGCTGTAAATAACAGATGAGAATTTTTGGGGGGGTAAAACCCAGTGTCCTCCCTCACCCTTGTGTTTTACCAGGCAGACAGTCACTTCGGTGATGCAGTCCCTTTCCCGTGCTTTTACAAATACAGTGTCCAGATACCTGGCATGCCTTTGGATTTGGGTCCAGGTTTGGACTGCAGACACTGGCTCACACTCCATGGCCTGTGTCCAGGTGCTTATCAGTGTGGCTCACCTGCTGTGGCCTCCAGATGATGCTGATGCCAGTTCCTGGTAGCCTTGAGGAAACTTAGGTGTGCTGTGGAGGGGAATTCTCCTTGCATGTATGATCATTTCTGTCATGGTGGCTGCTGAAAGGGATTCTTTCCAACAGACAAGTCTAGAGGATTCTGCCTAGTGAAGGGAACTGTTTTGTATTTGGTGCAGATTTTTATTTTAAATGGAGAAAAAAGAAAACCAAATAGGGAATAATATATTCTGGTTTTGAAGACTCATTTATTATGAGCCTTTATGAAATACGGACTCATTTTTTATAACAAAGGGCATCCTGGCTCTGTTTCTAGCAGCTATATCAAAGAGTAACTGCACTTCTCATTTAAAGCTACTTTGAAAGAGATCACATGTAATAGGTATTAGGATATTAAGAGTGTATATGTGCTTTTTGCTTTTTAATTTACACATCCAGCTTTCCAGTTCTGGGATGCCATTAATGTTCTTAGTCCAGAATTACTCTGTTTAAAGAGCTAGGTTTTCTTAGCTCTTGCAACAACATGGGCTTTATGAGATTTGAGTGGGAAAATCTTACCAGTGCATTTTTTACTGTAAGAGCGTTTTTTTAGAGGAGGGCATCGGTGGCTCAGAGCTCACGAATGTGTTGTTATCTTATTTTGAGATTGAAATAGATAGTAGTTAGTGATTCCTTTTTTTTTTTTTTTTCCTTTTTCTTTTTTTATTTAAGTGTAAGATAAAATACAGGGCAAGTGGCATGGCTTATTCAAATAAAAGATGACACAAAGTAGCTTGCAAACTAACCCTTACACCGAGCAGTGCCATTGCAGGATTATTTCTGATGACTCATCAGATCAGATAATCCACAGCATGTGGATAAAAGGGGACACAGGACTCAGAACTAAACCCAGAAAGCCACGCTTGGAAAAATGCAAAATGTGAGGTTAATGTTGTATTAAAGGTAAGACCTGAAAAGAGCACAGCAACATGCTGCCCCCCAGCAGGGATTTTTAGCCTGGCATTTTTGAAAGGACCAAAGAGATGTTCAAAGGGAGTGCAGTAAAATATCCCCAAAGGGGCCTTTGAAAATCCAAACTTTAGTAGTTTTGTGGGACGCCACATTAATGTGAGATTCTGGCTGAAGAAATGTGTTTTAATTTCAGAGCAGCAGTTTTGCCCATTTACGTCAACATTTCCTACTTTCTTGGAGGGGGAAGTTCTGCTCCTGAATAAATCAATGTTATACATATCCCAGAACAGATGAGATTTTCTCCATCCCAGAGCCAGGATGCCACACCCAGGGGCAGTGTCTGTGGGTAGGCTTTCAAAGGCCCCTCCAATCCAGTTCTGCTTCTGCACCTTTAGCTTGGGCTCAGAAGTGCTGGTGAGTGTCACTGCAACTTCTTGAATGCACCAGGGAAAGCCCCTGAGGGCCTTTTGCCAGGGTTTTGTGCACGTGTCATTGGAAGCCTGATGCTGAGAATGTTTATTGGTATTTGTGCTTGATTGTACAGTGAAAAATTAGTATCTGGAGCCCCCCAAGTATATGAGGTGCTTTGTAAAGCAGTCACCCTTTTACAATAGCCCTTGGCATGGCTCTAGCTAGACCTGTTTTGGAATTCAGCATACACCAATTGATATATTCTGCCAAATATATAATGAACAGGCAGAGCTGACTGTGCACCAGTGTTTCCTTCTGGCTTTTGAAATGGCGATCGCTCCCTTTCTGTGCTCCCAACGAAATCAAAGCATCTTGTAATCCTTTGCTTGTTTTTAAGTGACAGTAGTCCTCTGTTCCCTGACAAATATTGCCAGCAGAAGCCTGGTAGCTCCAGACAAGGTCCTTTGAAAGAGGTGGGAGGGGAGAGAGGCTCTGCAGGCAACTTTCCAGCAGCAGCTGTGCACTAATGGCATGGGAGTGTGGGAGGCTACTCCCGGGTTAGTAAGACAGTTCAGCAATGCAGTGAATGTGTGCTCCCAGTACATGACTCCTATTTACTTTTTTTTTAATTCCCTGACCTTTGTCTGACCAAGTCCATCACCAAAACGCAGCTGGATGGGGAGGGGGAGCAGCAGCCAGGCTGTACCAGGGATCTGGCTGCGCTTGGTGAAACATGCGTCACTCCCCCAGGGAAAGTGTTTAAGGCAAGTAACGAGGTGGCGAGTTTTCTGTCTTGCTGAGAAAGTTATTTGGAGTTGGTTCTTGTTTTGCCATAGCATCTCTCACTTCCCATGGAAGTAAGTGCCATTAATTTGCCTGACAGAGGTATTAAACTATAACAGCTGAATACCAGTCAAAGGTGGCAGTGTTTGATAGGGAAGTGGCAGAGAAAGAGAAGTTTGCAGGAGTCTGGGGTATTGTTCAGAGCCTTGTGATCTCAGCATCACAGCTCCAGGGTTTCAGGTCTGGTAATGATCTGAAAATACAAGTTTTCATGGTGACTGGAAGGTGGAGAGGCACAACCCATGGGGACAGCAG